TGGTTTGCCAGTGTGCTGACCTGCTCCTCTTTCACTGTGATGATTTTCCTCTTCTGTAATTTCAAATGCAGTGGGAAGAAGACGCTGTACCAGACTTTTCCTCTTTAACACCCTGAATGCTGCCAGCTGTGATGCTCTGCTGCTGTGAACACACAGCTTGCTCATCTGCTGTGGGCTTTTAAGCTGCATGTTCCCTAACCTTGCCTAGCTGTAAAACCACAGTGTGGTTTTCCATTACAGACCTGTACATTACAACACCTAACTAAGCTTCCCAAATGTTCTCCTTACCCTTGTTGAAGGTGGGTTTGCCATGACAGTCCCAGGGGACTGAAGTGTGCAGGCCACAGAGCAGGTGTGCTTGTGCATCGTAGCAATATCCTCTCCCCCCTTCTGTCCCACTGGGAGCTTCAACACAATGGTTTGATGTGCTGAATGTAGGTTACCTGCACATGAAAAACGTAGTCCTTGAGTTATACACCAACATCATTAACTGTGATGCAGTTCCACTGTGGATGCTCATGGAGTAGTTACTTCTGGTGCCATTGGTTCTTACATGAGAACCTTCCTCTCTGAGGAATGCCTGTTTGCATTTTCATTCTTCAGACCTACTGTGTGCAGGGGAACAAAGGCATTTGGGAACTGCTGATGTGAAGGAGCAGGAGCAGGCAGCTTACAGCCTGCCCTCCAGAGAACCCATATTAATTTAACTATTGAAAAGAATAGTTTGTGAGCCAAGTTAAAATTAGTAAAATATTTGTCTGCAGAGGTGAGATCTGTCTGCAAGGTTGGAAGTTGTGTCTGTAGTCATCTGATCTGACCTCTCCCTTGAAGCAGGCAGCATGTGAGCACTGGTTGTAGTGGTGGTTTTCCTGAAGTGTGCTAAGATCACTAGCTTCTTTCTCACAGGGCACAGAAGGATCATTAAATGCTAATGACTTTTGATTACTGTTGACCTTAGTCAATTTAGAATTAGTGACCCAGAGATGAAAACCACTGTATCTCATTACCAATTTCCTGAGCTATCTGAGCTTTCCTTTGTCAGTCAGTTTTGGTAAGAGGCACAGTAGAATTAAAGTTGACCTTTGCCTTAGAAAAAGGGTTGAGTGCTTTCAGGTTTGCAATATCATGTTTATAAATAAATAAATGGTGGCCACTAAGAAAGAAGTTAATTTTTGACCCCACAGACTGTCAAGAGCAAAGCTGTACGTGAAATGAAGTGCACAAGCTTGAGTAGCCACGATGGGGAACAAATGCATAATTTGTCTCTTTTAAATTAGTAACAAAACACTTTATCTCCTGTAACCTTGAATTGAATTATCATTTTGTGGTTGCAGGTTTTCTCTTCACAGAGTAGGTTTATAATTCTTTGTTTTACTTTGAACTGTCAAGAAACAAGTTAATGCACATAGAATGCATTCCAAATTTTGCTCTGAGATACTTTATTCCTGCAGCTCCCAAACTATGATATTGGGGAATCTCTCTTAGCAGGATTTCAAATAATATATTTTATACTGTAATGAAGTATTTGACATTATTTTGTTCCATATGCCCAGAAGAGAATGTCTGTGGGGTAATTCAGTGTAAGGGGATCAAGTGTATTGTTCACTGCAGGTTGTCTGAATGTAACCCTTCCTTGCCACAGTTGTGGTTTATATGGACTGTCATTCCTGCAGCAGGCATGGTCTTCAAATCAGAATATACAGAAAATGTTGAATACAAGACAATACAAGAAAATGTTGAACTTTTTAAAATCTCACTCTGATACATTATTTTGGTCTATCAGGGAAGAAAACCTTTAACTTTAAAAGGAAAAGACCCAGCATAGCAAAGTGTTTGGGGCATAAATATTAAGTTATTCAACCACTCACTGAAGTTAAATTGCAGGCTTTAAGCAGCTAAGCAAGAAAGGCAACAGGAAAAAATGAGAATAGATATTGCAGTTGAGGTAGGAACAGGCTCACGGAAATCCATACAAAGAAAGTGCACATTTATTTGCAAGTAAACATAGGAGTAGATATTAATGTTGTATGTTTTGTGTGATTGCTTTGTCTCAAAATGGGTATTGCTTAATGGCGTATTAAAAGGATTTAATAGAAAGGCTGCTTTGGTACAGAGACTAAAACAAATACCATGTATCATGCTAGGAAATACTACAGGAATAAAAAGTAGCTGTGAATATTCATTCTTCAGGTTTCTATTTTATGTAAGTTGGTCTTTACCTTTTGACTGGATGCTCAGGACTTTATGCTTTTGTTTTCTTTGAAGTGTTAAGGGCATTTAGGAAGAAAAAGTAAAAGCTATCTTAGTGGATAATGTTATGCAAAATATTCAAATCCTCATAAACACTAAGCAGTTAAGAATATTTGGTAACAAGTATGTTGCTAGCGTAGCATGAGTTCTATAGAAAAATACAATTTAACTATTTTTGACTTTGTTTTGAAGCTTCTAGTCTTGGTTCGAGATGCAATTCTACTCTGCTACTATTCTACTCTTTCACAGCTCTTTGCTATTCTGGAATGTAATTGCTGTTTTTTAGTGTCTATTTTGGCTTCTTTGAGAGTTTTTACAATTTTGCCCAACTTTCCTCTTGCTTTTGGTTGCCTTTTTATTTTACTTTTTTTCCATACAAGACCTGACTAAGACATCATTGCCAGCTTTTCCATGCAGCTGACAGAAGTAAATGCCATCTTGGTTTCTTCCAGTGCTGCCAATAAGAAACTGAGGAGACAGGAGATTGGAAATTTTTTGTCCATTGCAATGCATTTTTTTTACTTGAGGAAATGAAGGGTAGAGCTATCAGTGCCCTTTCCAAATTTGTTTTTACAAACAAAAGGGTTGGAATGGTGATTGGGAAGGACTCTTCCAAGTGACTAAATAATTCATAGACAGGTAAACAGAACAAGGCACCACAGCTGTGTGGGTTTGGTTTATTGAGGTTTTCTGTTGGTTTCATTCATTTCTGAACATGTATATTCCATTTTTAAATGAGTGCTTGAAGTTTAATTCAGAGAAATCTAGCAGTGGACAGACAGGTAGATTTGTTAAACAGTAACATTGTGTATTTATTTTGGTTAATCAAGATGTGTCATCTGAAATTTGTTTCCTGGTAGGGGGAAATTCAGGATTTAAACAATGTTTATACTGCATATAGGCATAGTAACTGCCAAAGAAGACACAGGAAAAGAAATGTATGCATTTCCTCATTGCTTACTAATAATCTTTTCCTTTATTCATGATGTGGTTGTAATAAACAATTGTGAATTTTAATGAAAGCATGTTTTTTATAGAATTGTGTAGCTCAGTTACTACATGAGGAATAGGCTTGTAAATGAGAGATGTACAAAAACTCAGCTTATTAGAATGAGAAAAAAGAAACTCTTTGGAATCCTTGCTATTCCAGCAAGAGAAACTGATGAAGTATGAGGAAGAATACTCCTGTCAGGTCTGGAAATTAAACTGATTTCCCTACTGGAAGTTACCATTAGAAAGGCATAATTATAGTAGTTACATGCTATTAAAAGTTGTACCAAGAGCTGGGCTGTACTGTGGCTCCTGTGCCTCACAAGGTACATTATGTTCTTAAGGGATAAATAAGCTGGGATGGCAGGTGTGTTGCACACACTTGGGTTTGAACAGCAAAATTGCTGCTTCAGTTCACAATGTTTAGTCAGAAACTGATTTCCAAGGGCTCCTAACCTGCTCCTAATATTTTGGAAGGGACATGTAACTTGATGTATAGTATCTCAGACTGGGAATATAGCCTTTTGCTTAATTCTTCTGGCATTTTGAATACCCATTAGGCCAGTGTAAAGATTTAAGCATGGAATTTCCTTTGACTAGAAATATTTCTGGTCTGACTCCTTTGCTTGTAAAATAATGTGCCTTCAAAGAACTGTATTTCCCATTTTCTCAGTTGTATATATCAAGTTTAGTTCTGTTAATATATAATTAATGAAGAAAAATGAGACTTTCTGAAGAAGATTAGGAGCACATTGTAATAAGATTTCAGAAATGGATAGATCTGTGGGTCAGAGAAGGTGACCTTCCTTGATCCTCTTGTTGGAGACAGACTGATCTGAACTGGGGATTTTGACTGGTCTTTCAACAGGCACCAGTTCATGGGTTGTTTTTACTGACTGCCAGCGTATTGATGTCTAAATTCATTAACAGTATTTGTATAGTAAAACAACAAAACACCATTGTATGAAAGTAAATGGAAGCTGCTGCCAAAACAGACAGAATAGGGAGTGAGAATTGTCACAGCATATGCCACAGCACATGCCTCAGTCCAGACAGCCACGACACACAGAGTATCACCGTACAATATCAGAAGGCCTCAACCCATACAGAGAAGCATCATATCACATCAGAAGGCTTCAGGCATCTGCCCTTGTTCTTTAGCCCAACCTTTCATACCCCTGGTGTTCATGCATTGCACCTGTGTGCCCTCTGTTCCCTTTGGTCAGTGCCCCTGGGCACTCCATGGCTCATTGCTGTCAGTGCTGCTCACCTCTTTGCACAGCCACAGCCCCACTCCCAATCACCACAAACTCTGTGCCTGCAGACAATAGCACTACTTCTTTGGGGGTTGTTTTTCCTGTTTCACCCATCTAATGGGTAGTTTATGAGACTTTGTTCCTGAGGTGAGAAAGTGCAGTGGAAAGTGGTATGAACCTGTGAGAGGTTTGTAGTTTTTCATAGGAATTCTATTTAAGTCTATTTAGGTTCTGTTCTGGAATCTGTGCTATTTTCTAGTTAGAGCAGTCTGGGTTATGGTGGGTGACTTAAGAGCAGGCAAAGATGGCTTTTTATTTACTGGCCTGGATTTTTTATCCTGTTGTGCAGATACTTCTTGTCTGCTGGGGTCTGTCTCACTTCTGAGTTCAGGCAAAACATGCTTCAGCTGCAGCTTCTCTCTCCTTTCCTTTCCCAGAGAGCACAACCTGCTGTGCATGTGTGGTGTGCTCCAAAACTCAAAGGTTGGTGGATCCTGTGGATTCACATTTACAGTCTGTCTTTCCCACGTGGAGTTAACTGGTCAGTCTGTCCCTCATTCTCTTTGTCTCCTGTAGCCTCCCATTGACCTTATCTGGCGTGTGTGTAAAATCTTTGCATTTATCCTGGTCATTGGTTTGAAGAAATGTGCAGAGACCCTGATTTTTGTATGCTTTGGGAGTCTATAAAATGGATTTGTGGAATGACAATCAAATCTCCCAACCCCTGCTGTCTTTTGCCTTCTGCCAACTGCAATGCTGAGAACCAGATTTTCTGGAGTCTGTGGTTTTCTGTATCTTTAAGAGGTTTTTTTAAGATTTCTTCCTTTTGAAATGTTTGTCCTGTGCAGTGGCAAAAGGGTTATTGTTGTAATTGGAAGGGCTGGAAATTTACATAAGGAGAGGAAAAAAAAACTTACACAAACTCAACAAACTCAAATTCTGTGCTGGGAATACCTGCTGTGTTCCCGTTATAAACTCAGCTGTGAGCAGTTATAAGATTCCATCTGTGGGATGAGTTTCTTCTCCTTCACCCCTTCTTTTCCCTCTCTACAGTTCAATATGCTTTAGGTTTTTAGTTTCCCTTCCTAATCAGTCTATTGCAGATAAAAAAGAAAATGTGTGGAGGAGAGAGAAAAGGTTGCTAGAAATAATTTCTTTGTAAATTACATAACCTCCCCTCAGTGTATTTAGGAATGTGTCTCTGCCTTTCAGGCATAACCCACCATCTTCCTTTAAAGCAGCAGTCAAGGAGATTTTGCACTAAGATGTTGGATTGTGAAATGTAGCAGCTGAGGCACGGACACGTCTCCCTCTGTTCCCCCTTCCACGGGCAGTGCCTTCAGACAGAGGGGACAGATGTGTCTGGGAATGGCATCGTCCCCAACCACTGCAGCAAAGCCTCCAGATGGCCGGGCGTGCTGTGAGTGCCTGGTGTGGAGCATCTCCCGAGGAGACCTGGCAATCTTTGAAACACCAGCACATTCTCAGGTTAAACACATTCTGGGTGTGTGTTACACGGCCACAGCTGTCATTCAAGCAGTTGGGATGGAGACTGAATAAACAGCCTGAGTAATATTTCTGTTTGAGTCAGTGGCAGATTTGTCAGGGGCTTCAACGAGGTTTCTTCACCAACCTTTTATCACTTTAATTTCCCTGCTGTACTCTTGTCCAGCTAAACTAATTAAGGCAAAATGTGGCTAAATTAGCTTGAAAGCAGAGGGTTTTTTCTTTAAAACTGAAAGTAATTATGAAATCATATTTTAACTATCTGCTCCCTGGTATTTTAAGGTGCGATATATTGACACCTCATACCAAGTATTTTTTATTTCCCTGCATTTGTTTTTAAGTGGCTATGCATACTTGGTGGTTTTTCTATACACTTGACCTGCTATTAAAGAAATCTGACCAAAATTTAAGTTCTGGATAAACTAATGACTAAAAATTAGACTTATTTCCTATTTAAATGGTTTGGTTGGCATAGCTTATATCTTGTTTATTTCAGAAAGTATTTGTGAATAAAATCAGACTTTTTGCATCTCAAGGAGCGATTTTTGCCTGAGACTCTCTAAATCATTCAGACCCTTTCATTTAATGCTTTGAAATATTGATTAAATATATTCACTCTGGTTTGCTTTAATCTGATTACACATCTAGAAGTTTTCTTCTGATGTGGTGCAGCCATGTCTGGTGTAAGCTGGCTTAATTAGCATTGCTCAGTGATTTGGGACCCCTGTCAAAGGCTGTTATGTTATCTGGAAACAGAAGGAGTTAAAGCTGAAGCTGTGACCTCATCCCTGTTCGTGTTACACTGGAGTAGAAGCTGCGCTGAAAGGGATTGTTTGGCTGCATGGCTGGCTGTGCTGCTGCTTGATTGCTTTAATTCGGTTCCGATATCTGTCGCACACTCGCTGAACAGCTCTTCCAGGAGGGATTTGTGGGAATGCTACAGGCGAAGCAAGCTGTGCTAATATCGCCTGCCCGTGGAAACAGCTCCCACGGCAATAGACTCAGATAGATCTATCTACCTGATTTCAACTTCTTATTGCTTCGCCTGTGAAAATTGAAGCGGCAGCGAGGAGAGCTCACGCACAAACACTCGCGCACTCCCGGGCAGCCGCGTGTGCCATTGATCCCATCCCATCCCCGCCGCCGGCTGCGTGGGAGCTGCGGGAGCGCCGCTGTGGCTTTAACGTGGGAGCGGCGCAGGCTACAATAGGTGTCACTGTGTGCCTGCAGCCATTGGCTCCGCGCTGCCGGCTCCGGCCGCACGGCTGCCGGTCCCGCTCCGCTCCCAGCCCTTCCCGCACAACTTGGGCTCGCCGGCAGCCTGGCACCGCCGCCGTGCGCTCCTCCTGCCCTCTGCCCCGGCTGTAGCGCTGCCAGGCGGCTCCCGATCGGGAAAGCTGGAAGGAAAGAAGGCTGGCAGGAATGATGGGGATGTATTTAACGGTTCAAGTACTGGATCAAACTTAGTTTCTTACTCTGGGTGCTGGAAAGGTCACCTTGCTGGAAGAGAAGCAGACTCTCAGCTCTGCTGCTTTCGGTGTTACAGCTTGCACATACGTTCCTAAATGTTCCTAGCTAGTTAGGCTGTCGGTCTTCACACACGGGTATACTGATGGTAGATGAGAAAGGAAAGAACATGAAATGTCTCACCTTCTTCTTGATGCTTCCAGAGACGGTCAAGAACAGGTCTAAGAAGAGCTCTAAGAAAGGAAATAGCAGCAGCAGTAGCAACAGCAAATTGCCTCCAGTTTGCTATGAAATCATTACCTTGAAGACCAAAAAGAAGAAGAAGATGGCTGCTGATATTTTTCCCCGAAAGAAACCAGCTAATACTAATACAACTGCTGTCCAGCAGTACCATCAGCAAAATCTCAATAACAACAACACTATTCCTGCACCTAATTGGCAAGGACTTTATCCAACCATCAGAGAGAGGTAAGTTCAGGGCAGTTTTTTTGGTGTTTGAATGGAGAGGTGAAAAGTAGCAAAATGTCCAGAATGCATTTATTTGCTGAAGAAAACACAGTTATATTTTATTTGTTTGGGCTTTTTTTCTCCCTGTATGTGTGTGGGAAATAAGAATTTTGGTAATGGAAAAATATTTTAGTATCTTTTTTCCAGTCAGGGCATCTGTTTGAGTTAATGGAAATGTTGCTGAAAGCTGCAGCACACCCGTAAAGATTTCCTTTTAGACCTCAGTGGGGATTTTCAGTGATAAATGCTCTGGACTTTGATTTCCACTTCATGGAAAGTTCTCAGAAGTTTGGGGGTTTGTTTTATTGCACCCACACACACCAGAAACACTTTCACCTCCTTAATGTTTTCTCTGGTATATTTGTGCAATGATGTGTAAAGTAGCTGGAGGCAAAGTGTGACCTGCTTCTGTTTGCTAACAAGCAGCTTGAAGTTGTTAAAAAATCAAATTTCTTGCATCTGGGACGTGCAGATAGAGTTCCTGGGTGCCACAAATTAACATGCTACCTCTGTTTGTAGAAATGCAGTGATGTTCAACAATGACTTGATGGCAGATGTTCATTTTGTGGTCGGGCCACCAGGTGGGACCCAGCGGCTGCCAGGACACAAAGTAAGCAACAGCTGCATGATCTGCTGGGGTGGGGAGAGCCAGAGAGAGCTCCCACAGTTACAGCAGGACACAGCGTGGGAGGCTCAGCTCTTCTGGGACAGGCAGCAGTCTGTGTTTGGAAAGGCCACATGCAGTGGGATAATCTCTCCCTGGCTTTTCTTTGTGGTTTTGGTTAAACAGCACATTTGTTGGGCTAAGGCAGTAAAGTTAAGAATACTGCTTTATGCTGTTGATTAATACTGCTCTTGAGATTTCCTAGAAATAGTTAACTGCTGTGGTGGAGGTGAGCGTTTTCCAGTAGCTAATGCATCTATGCCCAGGAGAGTAAAATACAAGGAAAATGTGTAACTTGTTCTTAACTTGGACTTAATTTCTTACTGAAGTGTGTCTGTAGAGCCTGTCAGTGCAGCCCAGTTTGCTCAGAGTGGCTCTCCCACATTGTTTGTGTTGGCAGTGTTTTCAGTTCAAAGCATGAAATAAGATTTCCCTTTCTCAACAGTATGTCCTGGCTGTTGGGAGCTCTGTATTCCATGCAATGTTTTACGGAGAGCTTGCTGAGGACAAAGATGAAATCCGTATACCAGATGTTGAGCCTGCTGCTTTTCTTGCAATGCTGAAGTAAGCATCATTCATCTGCTGGATATGTGTTCCTGTCTGATGTATACAAATACTGCCAATGTCATAGCTGAAGTTGCATATAAACAGAAAGAAAGAAATATTCCTCTTCTTGTGTTTTAAACTTTCACTTGTGCTCTCCCCCCCGTACTTCCAGGCACACACACATTAAACTAATGTAGGCAGTTGTAAATAATGATTTTGACAGGGGATCTTTGGGCACATTGTGTACTGTAATGCCTATCGATCTGATTTGTCACTGTGCGTTACACAAAGGAGTGGAGTTACTAAAAAGATTTGTCAGCTGTAACAAAAAACCCCAAACCAACTGTTCTACTTTGCAAGCATAGAGAAAAGTTAAAAATGCATGCACAAAGCCCCCTCAGACCCAGTAAATTGCTGGGTTTGTAGATTGACATTGTTCCAGCTCTTTTTTAAAACTGCAGTACGCAGGTCTTGTCTTAGAAAAATGACCCTAAGTTATTCAGTATAGCCTCTGAAAAATAAATTTCTCCTTATGTATCATATTGATGTGTTTGGAAAGTGATAAAAAGGCTGTTTACATGAATAGGGGGTCTTATCTAACAAGGAAAACGAGTCAGTTTACATGATCATTATTTTTCTTCTTGCAAACTGCATAAGAAATGCTTTCTTTTCCTAAATGGGCATAATGAAACAGCTTCCCTGCTGAATTGTCCTTGAATGTATCTATAAATTCTGATTGTTAAGGAGAAATGCCCTATCACAGAAATGTTATGGCTTTGAGTTTTTGATTTTTTTCCTTTAGCTTAAATAAATACTGTTGCTTTGCTATACAAAAAATACATCACTATCTGATAGTGATCCCTTTAATATGCTGCAGGTTTTCTTGCACGTAATGATATAATCACTAGGTAGCAATTTATTGTATTTCATAGATTGTTTTGATTAACTTGTGATTACAGAAGAGTTTCTTTTTAATTTTTAAGATTTCACTGGCATCATAGATGAACATTCAAAGTTGCATATAGAGTTTTTATAGGTTATCACCAACATCAGGAATGCTCTGTGCAAATATTGGTAACTGCCAGGAGAGCTCCACAGATGTTCTGTAGACCTGGAATATAAAGTTAAGATGTGACATTATGTAGGGAGGTGTGTTATGGATATTTGCTTTCAGCCTTTTTGATTTTGTGGCAGAGCTCAGACTTATACTTCACCTTCATGCTGAATTTTACCAATCACAAATACAAGATACTTGGGTTCTTCTAGCCCCCCTTTCTTTTTGAACAGCAAATCTATTTCACTGTGGCTAAACACGATGTGCTGTATAAAAACTGAATGCTTTCTGAATTTATCATTAAGAAATATGTGCAGAAAGAAAGCCTAGAAAAGAGTGTAGCAGTACTGACATCTAGGTCTTGGCATATTATTTAGCCCATGGCAATTTAGGAAACTATCTGTGAGAGCATGGCCAGAACCATGGGATTCTTCAACTTCCCAGCTTTTATTGAAAAAACCCTAAAGACCAGAAAAAGTTTGTGGTCTGTGTGGCTGTTGAGGTAACCTTGCCAGTGCTGTCGTCCCTGATGCAGCATGTCTGAGGCTGCAGAGTGCCCCAGTGTGTGTGACACTGGGATGGTGCAGGGAAGGCACGGGGATGCTGCTCAGCAGTGCAGCATCCCCTAATCACAGCATCCACTGCGTGTGGAGCTTAGGGGGAGCCACTGTCCCCTTCACTCCTCTCACTCTGAGAAACCATCCCTGTGAGTGTTTCCTGCAACTGCTGTGAGCCATGGATGGCAAGGCTATCTTGCTACAGAAGGAAAGATTTTAGCTATTCCAAATGAGCCTCTCATTCACAGGCTTCTTTCTGCATCATAAACTTTGTCAGGAAATATATTTAGCTTGGATTTTTTGGTTTTGACATCTTGCTCAAGAAGTTTGGGGATTTTTCCCCCTGGGCCAAAGAATTCTGATGGCATAAATATTTTTTGTGTTTTATTACATAGTGGGAATTCTGACAACAAACAAGGTATTGCCAGGTGTAATATAGGAAATACCACAACGGGTAGACATTAGTTATTCTCCCAGCAAAACTGCTTTGACTGTTCTCTACAGTTTTAAAAGCAGGGTTAAACTCACAATCTAGCTGCCAAAGTGAATCAGTGCATTCATGTATTATATCTTATCTTAGTCTTGACTGTTCAAGTTAGAACAGTGATCTCATCTCATCCCAGGCTGAATGTGTTACTAAACCATCAAACCCTGTGGTCTGGCAGAATCCTGTGTTTGAGAACAGGGTGAAACTGGAGTATCAGTAATTGCAAACCAGAGTCGAGGTGCATTGGCAGAGTAAGAGGTGTGGAGTATTGCTGACAGTCAATCCATGCTGTGTCTGCTGTACATCAGTGATATTAGTTCTTTATTTTCAGGAATATTAAAATAGCAACTTTTGAACTATGTCGATTTAAAACAGATGTCATCATTGTCTGTTGTACTAGCAGGCAAAGAGAAGTAATAGAAGGGAGGAAAGAGTAGGAGAGCAATGAGGAGAATCATAAAAATGAATTAATTGAAAATGGAATTTTTTTGGGCACTAAAGGAGCTAAACCTGTGACCATTGATATACAAATGGGTTCTTTGGTTTCACAAATAAGCTGAAACCAAGTAATAAACACTAAAAATAAGCTTGGCTCTACGTAAGTTTTCTTTTTTTCTCTGTAGCCTCTTAGATTTTATACTGCTGGAGCAGTATCTAGTATCTCCTCTGTGCTTGTTTTCCAAGTGCGGCATGGAGGATACTGTCTTACAGCTGCAAAAATACAAATAGTTATTTACAACTATAATCAGATCAGTGTAGGCACTAAGTCCTCTTTATAGGCACATCTGTTCTGCAGAAAACTCATTGTGTAGGGAAACCTGCTAACTAGAAAATTTTAATTAGTACAGGGTTGCTACAACTTTAGCTTTTCTGGAGGAAGACACTTTTATCAGCCATAACCATCAAGACTTGCTTATCCCTGTGAAAAGTGAAATTGCATTTGGCATGGTTTTAGCACATTGCATTCACCAGCTGCAAATGGAGCCCTGAAGCATGAGATATTGAAAAGAACAAACTGTACAATGCTTCATTTCTCTGAGCAATGAATCCCAGCAGTTTAGTCACATAAATAGAATTTCACCTTCATCTCTTCCACCACACTGCCATAGCAATAAAGCTTTTTTCATCCTTATGCAGTGAGACTGAGTGAAAATGCTCTGCTAGTTGAGTTAGGATCTTGTGAGAATTAAAAACCTGAAAATCTTCCATTTCCGATATGTTTCATAACCCTTTGAAAAAACCAACCAAAAACATAAGCCCAAACAAAAAAGCCACCTCTGAAAAGAACCCAATCCAGTAGTTACAGAAATGGATAGGACCTGATATACTTGAATAGCATTTCTCTTCTTAGATTACCTAGTTACTGTCTACAAACTTGTTAGCGTTCCTGCATTTGTTCATACACCTCATTGAACCACGGTTCACTGTCAGGGGACATGCAGTCCAGGGACTCTTGATAACACATGTTCCAGACTCCTGTGGTTGCTGTGCTCCAGCCCTGCAGGAGCTCCTGCCTGGGAACCAGGACCTGTGTGGAAGGAGCACAGAGCTGCAGGGGCCACAGTTTTTAAACAATTGTCTCATAGCATGTGCTCCAAATGGAAAGTTGGATTCACCTTAGATTTAAACCCATTCTCTTCCATGATTTTAACTTAAGTGCTTAATTTTTTTGTACTTTCTTTCTGGGCTTAATCAATACTCCCCAAAGCACTGCTTGATTCTAACGTGGAGCCATTTAAATATTCTTTGTTCATGATTTTGTATGAGTTTGTTGACAAATGGTGTTGCATTAAGCAGCAGCATTACACCTGTGTGCTTTATTTCAGGTACATCTATTGTGATGAGATCGATTTGGCCGCAGACACTGTCCTGGCCACTCTTTATGCTGCCAAGAAGTACATTGTCCCTCACCTGGCCCGTGCCTGCGTTAACTTTCTCGAGACAAGTCTGAGTGCAAAGAATGCCTGTGTGCTGCTCTCCCAGAGCTGCTTATTCGAGGAACCTGACCTGACCCAGCGCTGCTGGGAAGTGATTGATGCCCAAGCTGAGCTCGCTTTGAAGTCTGAGGGCTTCTGCGACATTGATTTTCAGACACTTGAAAGCATTCTCCGAAGGGAGACTCTGAATGCCAAAGAAATTGTTGTTTTCGAGGCAGCTCTGAACTGGGCTGAAGTGGAGTGCCAGCGCCAAGAGCTGACGGCCACCATAGAGAACAAGCGCAAGGTGCTGGGCAAGGCTCTCTACCTGATCCGCATCCCCACCATGGCCCTCGACGACTTCGCCAACGGCGCTGCTCAGTCCGGCATCCTGACTCTCAACGAAACCAACGACATCTTCCTCTGGTACACGGCTGCCAAGAAGCCGGAGCTGCAGTTTGTCAGCAAGCCCCGCAAAGGCCTGGTCCCTCAGCGCTGCCACCGCTTCCAGTCCTGCGCTTACCGCAGCAACCAGTGGCGCTACCGGGGCCGCTGTGACAGCATCCAGTTTGCTGTTGATAAGAGAGTGTTCATTGCTGGCTTTGGGCTCTACGGCTCCAGCTGCGGGTCGGCAGAGTACAGTGCTAAGATTGAACTGAAGCGACAAGGGGTTATCCTGGGCCAGAACTTGAGTAAATACTTCTCAGATGGTTCTAGTAACACTTTTCCCGTGTGGTTTGAGTATCCGGTGCAGATTGAGCCTGACACCTTTTACACAGCAAGCGTGATTCTGGATGGTAACGAACTCAGCTATTTTGGACAAGAAGGAATGACAGAAGTTCAGTGTGGGAAGGTGACTGTTCAGTTCCAGTGCTCCTCGGACAGTACAAATGGCACAGGGGTACAGGGAGGACAAATTCCTGAACTCATATTTTACGCTTGAATGGGAGTGTATGGATACAAAGCATTTTGCTATGAAGAACCTGTCTGGTTCAGGCCTACTGATTCTTAGCTTTTTATCTGCAGATATGTGATCAGTACAGGGAATATGTAACTAAATGCTGTGGGCAAGTTCCTGGCTTGCTGTACTTGTAGCATCATTGGTGATTAAGTGTAATATTTAAACTGGAAGCTCTTAGAAACAAGCAAGTTTTAAAGGCTTTGTAAGGGGGGTGCCTGTTTGCTGGTGATGCTGACCCTTTCTTTGATGCACCAGTGAGGACATCCCCCTCTTGTATCTCACTAAACATTGTCTTAATTGACCCATTTTTCTTTCTCCATTTTCTGCTTTCTGCTTGTATTGGGGAGGTAGGGATAGAAAACGAAGAGTCTTGTTTTACAGCTCTCTCTGCTGTCTGCTCTGCAGACTTTAGAGATTCCAGTGAACCAAGCTGTTTTTGACCACGGGGGCTGGAAAAAGTCCTTCAGTTAAAAGCAGAAAAAGCACAAGTTCAAACCTTCATCCTGTGAGATTCTCCTGTAGTCAACTCTTTGGGATGGCTCCAGGGGAACATGGGAAGAAGGATGCATCTTTCAGGAAGCTCCATACCAGCCATATCCCCAGAGCATGGACATGTTCACAGTGAGGAAGGGATGTGAGCTTGTCAAGTTACCCTTGGAGTTCATTTTCTAGGAATCCCACCTTGCAGGCAAGGAAGTACTTGCATGTGTTCAAATTGTGTATGCAGCTCTTGAAACTCTACTCCCATCAACTCCATGCTACACTGGAGTTGATCTGCTCTTTAAATGGCATTTCTTTGAACTATTTCTAAATAAATGGGAATTTATATAAATCATCTGATGCAGGATAATTTTTTGTTTGTTTTGGGTGGGATTTTTCTTCTTCCTAAATATGGTAGAGGCAGATTTTAGGGGAACAAAAGAATGTATCAATCTTGACTTGGATTTTTTTTTCTGTAATACAATATTTTTTTTTTCTTTTTATTACCAGTTGAAATTCAGACAATGACAGAAGATTCCCAACTGTGGTCATGTTACACTTACTGTATACCATCCAATAGCAGTGAGGGGGAGGAAGTCTCCCCTAATGGGTTACTGTTGGAGCTCTTGCAATTGCTTATGGCTACACATCAGTCAGAGGATTATGGGGTCTGGAACCTTTTCCTTGCCTGAGCTTTTCCCCCCAGGAAGTTACATGTCCATATAATTTTTGATGATGTAATAGGAAGTTTTACATGTCTGTCTCATTTTTGGAAAAGTATGAGGGATACTCCTTGTATCAGGGGAGGAAACCAGTATAGATAAGAGCTACAGGTACTATTGAAACATGAGAAAATCCTTCAGTATCCTGATTCACCTCTGAAATGGATTCTGTTTGTAGCGTACCTTTTAACAAAATGAGAAGACCAAATGATTCTTTAGACCTGCTGAAGATTAATATTACAGTATATCAACACATTAATGTAGCTTAACCCTAAATTCACTTGTCAGTTCTGTAATAAAAATGTTTTTCTCATATTCTTTTACCAGTTTAGTACTGTTACTCTAAGTGTTGCTTGATAGTTGGAATCCTGGCCCCCGGCCATCAGAAAGTGCCAAAATACATCTTTGCAGTGTCCAAATACCATCTGAAGTAAGGAAAAGTGGAATGTAGTCAAAGCCCAGATCTTCCCTCTAGGTAATAAAAGGAGAGCCAGGTAAAAAAGTACTCCACAGGATTTATGCCTTTCATCCATCTTAGCGTTTACTGTTTTGTATACATACATACATGTGTGTATAAGCAGCACTCTTTCTGAAATGTAAATACCCTCAAAATACATAGAAAAATGTTTTTGGTTTTCTTTTTTTTTTTTTTTTGTAACAGATGTACATAATCCAGACTGTTTGTGAAATCTAAACAGAATGCTCCATGGAAAACTCCCAGGGAGAGATTTATAAAAACCTCCAGTTACTTATATTTAGATCTACAACTGAAAATAGACAAGAGTATAAATGGTATGGAGTGGAGAAAGAGTTGCTGAAGAGATCGTAGAAAGGAATCTGAGATTGTGATGAGGTAACGGTCATCTACTTTTAGACACCATCTGAGCAGCAGTTCCATTTATTTAGCTACATTTCAAAGCAGAGAAAGATGCTAATCAGCTGATTAAATTTTTGTACAGCAAGTGGCTGATGCAGATGTAATTACTCCGAGTGATGAGCAGATTGACAGGTTCTGGTAGCGAGCTGCATTCTGATTTGTTTGGTAAAAAAACCCATGTGCCACAGCTGGTGGGACAAGTCACAGAGTACTGCATTGGTTTAATAAGTCTTGGGTTCTCACTTTGAATTTATTATTTGTTTTGACTTACCTGCAAATAAAGGTGACATATCTGCTACATTCGCTGTCTGGAAGAGAAGTTCAGAGATCAGAACACTGCAGCTGCAATGTGTAGAAAGTGAGCTGTTATTTAATTATTGTTCTTATTGGATTCTTTCATGAAGTCTTTTTGACGAAGTAGGATGAAAGCAACCTTTAGCTTAATTCCTCTGAGTCCATTCCAGGTTTTGGGAGCTGGTGCAGGGAAAGGTTTCAAGTGTGGGTGATCAAACAAAGGCACCCAAAACTCCTTTTGATGCTCACAGCATAACTTGCTTCTGAGCACTTTGTAACACAAGTACTGGGATGTAAGAAGGTGGCCAGTGCCACTCACCTTGGGACATCAGGGCACTTCAGTAGGTGTCTGAATGTGGATTTGGTTGGTTTAGCAGAAGCACCCAAGCTTGAGTGCATTGATTGACATCTTGCAAACATCAGCCATATCAGCCTGGCATGTAAACATAATGTCGATAGAGATCACCTCACAGATTTTGTCTAAACTGTTCCCTGCTACTTGTATCTTTGATTTGCTGGTGAGAGGAATCTGTGATAAGAGAGTATAGTGTAATATACTTTCTGCATATCTAAAATAGTATTTAAGTAAAGACTTTAATTTCTACACACTTATTGCACTGAACTATTTTGGGTTTTGTTTTTTTTGTTGTGATAAACTCGGCTCACTTCAGGTCCCAGCACCCATTTGTGCTGAAGCAGTGTTTGACCTTAGCAGGCTTACAGCATTATTTATAAAGGACAGATATATATAAATATATAAAGTACCTCATGTTGAATGTTATTGTACTGTATCTTTAATGTCACAGTGCAGATCTTGTTGGACTCATGAATGTGTATTATCACGTTAAACATAAAAATAAAAATGATTCTTAAATGGTTGTTTCCTGCAGTATCTTTGAAGCATGAGCTGTGCAAGTCCTTACTTAGTTATCTCTTTTAACAGTTCCTATTGTTGTTCAGTTGTGCAGGGATATTTGTTGAGCTTATGCATTCAGAGATCTTTTGATCCCCAAAGAAGCAGAAGTCTAAGGAAAATCAAAGAAGAACAATGAAAATGTTAATCAGTTGCATTGTAAAAAGGTTGACGATTAAGCTAATGAGCTAGAGTGAATGAATTCATTTATGTACTTTATGAAAGACCTTGTCTACTAGCATTAATATTTTCATGTTCTATTAATATTATTAAGCATGTGGAGATGAAGGGGGAGGGTCTTTTGTTTATTCTAAAAGACAGTTGGCACAGGAAAGGCCATGCTTTTCAGTCTCTGATGTATCAGAAAGGACATGGTTAGTGCCAAGAGGCTGTTCTCTGCTGAAAAGTTAATTATATAATACTATTCAGAATTCTGAGTATTAACAATTCTCTTCCAGGAGATTTGAGACTTCACTGACTTTAAAGGTCACTTCTTTTAAAGGCTCACACTTCCATGATGTCTATCTCCAAGACCTTCCATATATTACTGGACAATGATAAAAAATACCATCTGATAAAGAGATATGGAAATTTGAGGAAGCCTACCCCAGAAAAAAAACAATACCTTCAGAGTTCATCCAAAATTCTGACTGAAGCATGTTTACAGGCATTAAATTTGCCACTTTGGGTAAGTTGTCTTTCTAGAATTCTTACTTCAGTACTTGGCACCACGCTGCTCCATTCTGGATCCAAGTTCTCTTAGGTGCCCAGCACTTCTCATTTGGAACTGGCTTCAAGCAGGAACTGTCCTGTGCCTTGTACTGTGCTAATGGCACCAGCTCTTAAATGTGTGGCAGATACCAGCGTGATGTGGTGCAGCAAGGACCACGCTGGCAGCAGCAGCCTGGCTTGGTGTGGCAGAGGAGACTGCTGGCAGCCTCAGATCCTTATGCTGTGGTAATCAGGTCAGAACCAAGTGGACAAGATGAATGAAGCATGGCCTGTCTCATCCAAAGGAATTTTCTCCTTTGCTTCTGCCTGAAATACGATGGGAGTGATAGAACACTTGCTTTGGAAATTGATTTCAAGGAGAGTAGTGTCAGTATTGCACCCTTTTTGGTGAGGCAGAGAATCATGTGTCTGTTTGTGGCAGCAAAAAAAGAAGTTTGAAGGGGAAGGAAAGACTGCTAGGATGTTTCTGACTGGAAGGAATTAGACCCCAAAGGTGCACTCAGCTTGTCTTGCAGGTAATACCCTGCTTGCTGGAGAAGGCTCCCTGCTCCCACATAGTTGGAAACTGCTGAGGAACACGTGGCTGCTGCTTCTCATGAGGACAAGATCCTGTCTAAAACAGGCTCTGAATACTCATCTCTCAAGTGGAGGGACTTACCATTTCCTGGCCTAGCAAGAATAGCTGTCCTGCAGCCCAGGACAAGCTTAAGGAAGCTCAGAGGGTCTTTGGGACCTCCCAAGCCCAGCACTTGGGGGAAGCTAAGATCCTGGTCCAGGGTGGGACATGAGCCCATCAGCAGTATTTGGCCATGGTAAAAAGCAGCAGATTTGAAATCCAGCCTGTCCTTCCATGTTTGCAGGGAATCAGTGGCAGCAGGGCTACCTGCTGATTTCCTGAAGGCAATGAAAGGAGCTGCTTTCTCAGATGGCAGTGTGACCGTGTTCAAAATAAAATTAAGAGAAGGCTTTTTGGCATGTTGCTCTGTTTCTAGAAGACTGAATTTATTTTCTCCCCAAGGCTTCCTCATAAAATGAGGCCCTGGCCCAATTGAAATCAGTAGGAGCTGCCCTAGTGACCTCAATAAACCCAGAATTTTCATTTGTAGTGTTCATTTTGTATGATTATTCCCAAAACACAACAAAAAACTGCCAAAGAACGGGAAATTAATTTTGAAATCCCACTGTAATCTGATTATCTGAAATAAAGGTAGAAACGTTTCTATTAAATTTTACAGAACTCCTGCTCATCCGATTTTGTGTGCCCTGCCCCCAAGCTTTTCTGATAGAATGCTTTATCTTCAGCCATGAATCTATAGAGAGAACAGTAAATTTGTACAAGGCTTTATGCATATTTTTACAGTCTGTGTATAGAATTCTAGCACATAAGATGCATAGGACAGATAAAGTACTTTTAAGAATTAGAAAGTGTGTAAATTGCCCATAGTCCCTTCACCAAAAAGAAAAAAATCCAGTTTTTTTGCTTGAAGGCATTGGTATTTTGAAAGAACTTCTTGAAGTCTGTGCACTTGTTGATAGCATCAGAAATGCATTTATATTAAGCCTTTAATGGTACCATTTAAAAATCAGCTTTCTAACTGTTTTCTGTAGACAAAGATAGCATAGTTAGCCTTCGGGGATCCTCTGCCCTGGTCCAAGGGGATTTACACTTGAACAAATAGTAGCAAGTGCAATTTTCTAGATCTCACTTTAAAGCTTCACAGGGATGTTATGTGCTGCTTGGGGAGCACTGGTATTTCAAAACCAGCCGTGGCTCATTTTAGCCTGACAACAACCAGGGGCTTGCATGGAGAGGAATCTGAGTGGGACTGCTGTGGTTGTTGTTGGGGGTTGGGTTTTTTTTCTGTTCTTTCCTTGTTACTTGTGGAATTTTTTCCTATTAAGTTGCTAAGTAGCACTGATGGCCGGGAGGGGAATCTCCTTTGGTTTTTGGGGGAGCTCCTCTGGGGTGGAGGGGGCAGAGATACCCTGAGGACTGTTTTGGGGTCCCTGGCTCTGTTTGTTGTTAATGCCATAGTTCTTGTTTTATTTACCTTGTTATACATACTAGTAAAGAACTGTTATTCCTATTCCCATATCTTTGCCTGAGAGCCCCTTAATTTCAAAATTATAACAATTGGGATGGAGGGAGGGGGTTTGAATTCTCCATTCCGAGGGAGGCTTTCTGCCTTCCCTAGCAGACACCTGCCTTGTAAACCGAGACAGTTGTGTAGAGAGGAAGGGTTTCCACTCCCTGAGGGCCAAACACCTTCTGTTGCCTTGTGGTGGCAGCAGCTACGTGCTGAGCATGGTGTCAAACACCTCAGCAGCTGTGAGGGATTGGAAGCATGAAGCGCCCTGGGGACCCGCTGCGTGAAGGCAGGGGTGGAGGCTCCAAGATACAGGCAAGTGGTCAGCAAGGTGATTTTGTGAGCCAAAAACCCGTGGTCCTGTATCACAAAGCCCTTGGTGATGGAGGGTTATGGCTGGGCTGATGAATGGTGTGTGATTGTGATTTTTCACAGCTGAGAATCCCATTTTGTTTTCTTGTTCTTCTGGGAGATTCTCCAGCTCTTTTCTCTCCTGAGCTGCTATTCCTGCTCTGTGCCAGAGGCTTCCATGTGCTCAAAGCCCAGAGATTCACTTTTTGCTGAGACTGGGGAAACTGGAAACACCTGGTGGAAAAGGACTGTCTGAGGGAGGGTGGGACACCCCAGTGCTTTGGTGCACTGCTTGCAAGCTGCCCTGGATGTGCTGAATGCTGGCCTAGCATGGCAAGAGAGGCAGGATAATTCTTTTCTGGTTACAGATGTATTTCAGTGTTCTCCAGCCAATTGCTGGTTGTGCTTA